ATGGTATATGTTTCGCTATATTTTGAACAAAAAAAATTAATTTTTCAAAACTCGTGTCAGTTGTAGTATTATTACTATAATATCAACATGATATGGCAATGGTATTATAATCTATCTCATTTATTTTAACTCAATATTCAAAAAAAAAATTGTGTAGAACGAATAAATTAACATCTATATAGTGATATCCATTTTTTTATGTTTTGCCACACATCATACCTCATACAAACATCATATCAGTATTATATCATGATAATATCATTGTACCTTAGTGATATTATCATAATATGACATTGGTATACCGCATGCCAACATCATATCACCATCATTAATTAAGATCTACATAATTACATTCATTTTGTTATGTTTTGTCAAACATAAGACCTTATACCAACATCATATCACTATACCCATAGTGATAATATAATGATATGACACTGAGATAATGTATATAAATTAATTTGGCAAACATAAGATCTCATTACCAACATCATATCACTATCATACTATCATCATACCAATATCGGACCACTATCATATCAACATAATATCACTATGATGTCATATCAATGTCAGTGATAATATCGTGATATGCCAATGATATGATGATCTAAAAAAATTTTGTTCAAAAAATATCATCTCGTAGTGCAAAAAAATATGAGTTTTCTATGCAGAATTTCTGAAATTTGATGTAAAACTAGTGAACTAAGATTCGTTGAATATTACTGGGAAATTTTAAAAATGCATTGACAACCACCTAGGAATTCGCGCCAACCACCCCAAGATCCGGTCAGCTCACTCTCTCCTCACCTATTTTCCGTTCTTCCACCCCCCTCAAAGATGGGTGTTCAAATGGTTACCATGGTAATAACCAAACCAAATAAGTATAAAATCTATTAACCATGGAATACAATATCATAACCAAACCGTCCAAACTAATACAACAACCAAATTAACCAAACTAAAATTTATTCGGTTTGGTTAATTGGTTAACCAAAATAACCAATAAAACACCACATTATCATAAAGTGAGAAAAATTTTCAGTTAGTGCATCAATTTGCAATTTATATAATGAACAACACATAACAATCCACATAATTGTAGTTAACCCTTAACGTAAATACATGTAACAAATAAAATTATCTTACATTTGACTCTTGAGTGGTTATGCAAAGTATTAAGTATATGTATATAATATATATTAGATATATGACAAATTCCTTAACTCGTTAATTTGGTTTGATTGGTTAGGAGTGCCTGAAACCAAACCACATACACCAAACAAGCTAAATTTTTTAACCAAACCAAACCAATTATCGAAATTAACCAAATCAAATTAGCCAAATACTACTGATTAAAATGGTTACCACGGTAACCACACCGTTTGAACACCCCTAAAGATGGCCATTGAATCTCTTCCCCGTCAATCTCTGCCATTCAATATGTTTTTTACCATAACCAAACCATATTTTAGTATTAATCACATTCTGAATTATTTATGGATAATGCATTATAAATATACAAATATTAAAATAATATAAAAATGATGCTCTCTTCATGCTTTCCATTATGAATTCTTGTATAATACACGTTGTTATGCTCTCACTCCCTCTCCACGAACTGGTTACCTATATCTTAACTAATTTAGGGAGAAAATAAGAAAAAATAAAGAAACATGTGTTTATAATAATTTAACATAAATTTCCTATTACAACCGCATTCTTCGTCGACAGTTTCTTCCTCATCTCCACATTCGGCGGCGCTGCCAAATCTCCATCTCTCTCGCCTCCAACCTCCCTTCCTCCCCCTGTCATGTTCTATCGCCATCCCGGTCGCCTCTGCGTTTGCTTCCTCCGCTAAATCCAACTCCTTGGTGGAAAAGGAATAGCGAAATTGGATTTGAAAGAAGCCAGTGCCAGCCAAGTCTCTCTCTCGGCCGGGAAAGGGTAGAAATGGTGGTAGTATCTCCATCTCAATCAATCTCTCTCTCGAAAAGGTGGGATGAATAAAAACCCTATATTTTTTTTTCCGCATTGGTTGTGATTTTTATGTAGTGGTAGTGTGTTTTTCGCATTGGTAGTGATTTTTTCATAGTGTTAGTGTTTTTTCGCATTGGTATTGTTTTTTCCGCATTGGTATTGATTATCATGTATGTGTATTGCTTTTTAGTGAAATGACATTTTTTCTGTGGTGGTAGTATTTTTCACATTGGTATTATTTTTTTTTCATTGGTATTGATTATCATGTAATGGTATTGATTTGCATGTATTGATATTGATAAATCTGCAATGGTATTGGTGTTTTGTGAAATGGTAGTGTTTTTATTTCTCAGATGGTATTGGTGTTTTATGCATTGGTAGTGTTCTTTTAATGGATTGATATTGTTTTATTGTTGTAGCGGCATTAGTTCGGCTGAACGAAAACAAGGAAAAGATTGAGAAAAAGAAGAAAGAGAGATCTGGCTGGAGATTGTGGAAGTGAGAAAAAGAGAGAGAAAATTGTAATTAATATATTTTCGTAACTTTGCAAAATGTAATTTGTTAAAAAAGGTAATTAATTTTTTTTTTGTCATACCCAGTTTACCCTTAGCAATCAAGGTGATTACTATAAAATAGTAATCACCGTAACTTGTCCCCACGAGTTGGACTTTGAGCAAAATAGTTCTAAATAATTACTATTTGAAAATTGTTATCTTAATACTTATTTTTATTCGAGCATGCTTATTAATAATTTGAATATCTTAAATATTATAAAATTTAAATTAAATTACTTTTGAGCATAATTGCACTCCATGTTTTTTTCTTTATAAACAACAATTTCTCCTTTCACTTACGCTCCTATAATTTACTTCTTCCAACAATTTTCATCTCAATTTGTAGCCCTCTCAAATTTGCATTGCCAAATATAATGGTAAGCATTGTGTTCAATTGTATAAGGCAAACTCACATTCATAGCCACAACTTTCACGTTTGTGATAGTTATAGTCACAATTTTCAAAACACAAAATAGCCATTTCCGTCCATCCTTTTAAAGGTGTCATTTAATAGTATGACTGGACTGACGAAAGTGTCGAGTGGCTATCCACGTGGATTAACAAAAAATAGAAAAATATACTTTTATTGCCACAACTTTCCGGTGAAGCTTGATTCGTCACTGTCAATTGTCACCGTTAAAGGGATGGGCGAAAGTGGCATATTTTATTTATTTCGAAAGCTGTGGCTATAACGGTAAAAAATGTGAAAGTTGTGGCTATGGAAGTGTCATTTTCCTTTCGTGTATTTGGAACCTGTAACGAAAATGGCTAGATTTATATGAAAAAAACCCATCAAATTTCTGGATATTTCTTGTATTTCAAAAGTTGTGGCTATAATTGTCACAAACGTGAACGTTGTGGATATGAAAGTGTATTTGCCTAAAATATTTTTAAAGAAAATTATGATGTGGCATCTACGTGGCAAGTGAGGTTGAATTGTCGCTGACGTCAGGGACGGAGCCAGCGTTGTGGCGGGGGGGGGGGGGGGGGGCATGGCCCCTCTAAAATTTAAAAACTTAAGAATATAAATCTATATCACCAAAGCAGTTGTAGCACAGTGGTTTGTTTACTTCTTTACAACTTGAAGGTCAAAAGTTCAAATGTAGGTATCATCATTACAAATTTTAATATTTGGCAATTTTAGCTTATTTTATCCAAAAAATATCAGTATTACAATTTGATACCTCAAGCTTTTGAATTGCAGTTTGAAGTACATATTATTTTCAATTTTGTTCTACTAGTTAAAATTAGGTACATATAACGATAATAATTATGATAAAGGTTAATTTAAATTCTATGTTGGCATATGTTATCCCAAAATTTATATATCTTACAATTTGGTACCAAATTTTTTATTTTGGGTGCATATTTTTCTTTTATTTTGTTGTTCCACCCTAAATTTCCTAAAATTTTGAGATTTAGGTAATATGACTGGTAATTGACGTTCCATTTTACCAATGCCTCCATTCTTTATTGACAGTTGATTTTTTTTCTTTTTTTTTTCTTCAATTTATTCAAATATAATAATGTTTGAGTTGCATACCATGTGTTGTTTTGGTAGGAGTTACATACTATGTCTAACTGCATTCTACTAATTAAAGTTATATTGTATATGTATAATTCATGTTGAGAGAATTATGGTAATGACCATTTAATGTAAATGGTATTTTTGATGATTTTAAAGATATTAAAGAATATAATTAATATAAAATTAAATTTTAATAGATTATAGTTTTTTAGTATTAAATTAATTTAGTTCTAGAAAAAATTTCTGCCCCCCCCCCCCCCCCCCCCCCCCCCCCCCCCCCCCCCCCCCCCCCCCCCCCCCTTGGAATTCATGGCTCCGTTCCTGGTTGACGTGTGGGTCAATTTGGCATCCTAGTCAGTGTGTCGTTAACCTAATTAACGGAATCTCTAACACCGTTAAAGTTTGTAAAGGAAATGGCTAAAATTGTCAAACGACTATAAAAATTGTGGTTATTGTAACTAAAGAAGTATATTTTGCCATTGTATAAAGACAAAACATTGTGCTCACTTGCCCTAAATTCCCTATTGCTTAGTATGTATTGATGCATTGAGCTTTCGATAATAACTATAAAAGAAAAACTATAAGTAAAAACTAAAAAGTAAACATTTATTTTGTTCAATTGCCCTATTTTCCGCACTGCTTAATTATGCATTGACTGCACTGAAGTTGTGATGAAAAAATCTTGTGGTGAAAAAGCGACAAGTCCAATCATGTCTCGATGGGAATTTGACCAACATGAAAAATCTGAATCCCCAAACCTTTACTAACCCCGATTGCTTGTTTGACAGGGTAAAAGGACTTTGAACATCAATAATATTTGAATGAAGAAAAACAAAACCACCCCATCCATTACTATCTTCAATTTTGGAGCTTTCAATGGCAGTTCCAGAAGATAGTTGTCGAACTTGATTGTTCTTGCGCAGCAATAATTAGTGTAGCTAATCTATCATATAATCAATTGCTCTGAATATGCTCTCGCATCCCGTCTTGCCGGTGGCCGATCCCAACCCTTTGGGAAGGCCGCCGGACGTGCAGCAAACCAATCTGGAGGAAGGAGATGGGACTGATGCCGTGTCTCCTAGCCGTCGATTGGGGGAGACGTCCATGATGATAGATTCCTCCCCGCCACTGTTACCCGAAGGAGTCTCCGTGCCTCCCAGTGTAGCCGTGCCGCCGGTTTCGTATGCGAAAATTGTTACAGGACAAGTCCAAGAAACCAGCAAAGCGAAGAGTTCGTGGATGGCGGTTGGAGAACACGATTTGTTGCCGGGGACCTTCAACGGAGAACCGGAACTGAAGATCTCTAACGCCTTTAGAGAAAAACTGTGTATCCAATGGAGGCGTTCACTGGTAGTGCGTACCATGGGCTTGAATATCTCTTTTCTAACCTTCAGCAGCAAAATTAAAGCGTTGTGGCGCCCGACGGGGACGTTGGACATCATGGCGCTAGGACCAGAATGCTTTCTGGTAAAATTGGACAACGATACAGATTACTTCCGAGCTCTGACAGAGGGTCCCTGGACTATCTTCGATCACTACTGCATTGTTTTCCAGTGGACGCCGTCTTTTCGTCTGTCCGACGACTTGCCAAGAACAATGGTGGTATGGGTTCAGCTTCCAGCCTATCCGATTCATCTCTATCATCAAGAGATCCTGTTCTCATTAGGGAACATGATAGGACGTGCTATCAAGCTGGACTTTCACACACAGCACCAACAGAGGGTGAAATTTGCCCGGATGGCCGTCGAGCTTGACTTGTCTAAACCTCTGGTTACTCGTATTCGGCTAGATGGCAAATGGCAGTACATAGAGTATGAAAACCTGCCAAAGGTTTGTTTCGAATGTGGAAGGATAGGGCACGCAACGACGGCCTGCCCATCTCTGTGCGAACCTATGCTGTCGATTGTGGCCGGAGCCGATACCTTGTCGCCGGAGAAAGGGTCGGAAGAGTCGTCGGAGGAAAAAGCGGGTTTCGGCCCGTGGATGCAGGTCACACGGCGATCAAGGCGAGGAAACCGGCCGCAAGAGAAGGGAAAATCGGACGGAAATCAGGGGGAGCTCATATCTGGGGGGAAAATGGAGAAAGGAAAAGTTGAGAAAGGAAAGTCTGAGTCGAAATATGAGGAAGGCGCTAGCGGATCTAAAGGGGGAAACAAAGATTCGCAGGACCAACGGTTGGATATTCACAAACAAAGCAAGTCAGATAAAGGAAAGGCTTCAGGGGGATCGCCTCCAAAAGGGAAAGAAAAGGTGGGGAAAACCTCGGCAGAAATAGGAATAGGGGGGAGGGGTGTTTTGGGGCCCATACCTCCTAAGCAAAAGGCCTTGAGTGTGCGGCCCAACAGGCCTGAGTTGGAACAGGAAAGGAAGCAGGAGTTGGGCCCGGTTGGATCAGACAAAGCAGGCGGACCGAAACCCAACAAGACTAATATGAATTTACAGATTGGGCCTGGTCCTTCTAACTCAGGCCCCCCACCAACCCAAATCATCACGGGCCCAAACAGCACTTCGATCCAAATCGTCTCCGTCCAGAGCCTTGAGAGTCAGCAAGCGGGTGAACAGAGGGAGGGTGCTCCTTCGGCGGTTCAGCGAATCAAAAACCAGCGAGCTCACAAGAAGAAGAAGGACAAGTCTCCGCGGAAGAATCCAGTGATGATCACAACCAAGGCTCTGCAAGTCTGGACGCCGGTGAAGGACAAGAAGAGCAAAGCCAGAGCTCGATTAGCCTCTCTTACTCTGCAGGAGATAGAAGCTTGGACGGAAGCGGCGAAGGCGGGCACAACGGAGATAAACCCGCCCAAAGCTCTGGAGACAGAGAATAGGGTGGAGTTGGAACCTGCGTCGGAGGCTGCTGTCTCGCCCTGACTGGGAGCTCCTCCTTCGGATCCCTTCGACTCGTTTCTTTTCCTTCCCCCCTTCTCCTTTTGCTCTGTTTTTTTATGTCAATCCGTTCCATTAATAACTCTTACTGTTGTGCTTCGATTTTGTCTTGGAATGTTGGAGGTGCAGGTAGCGCTGCTTTCTCCCGAGCTCTGAAGCTGATTGTTCACCAGAACAAACCAGATTTTTTGATTCTCTTGGAGCCCCAGATTAGCGGGGAGGTGGCGAACCGAATCTGTGGGAAGATGGGCTTTCCGAATGTCCTGCGTGTTGAAGCTGAGGGGAGAAGCGGAGGGATTTGGCTCTGCTGGGATGCCCAAGCTTTCCGGGTGGAAGTGGTGTCGGCGTGTTTTCAGCATCTTACAGTTAGAATCTCGCCGGCTAATACGCAGCCGTGGCTGTTGACAGCCATTTATGCAAGCCCGAGGCAAAATTTGCAGCGATTCCTTTGGGACTCCATCCTCCGAACTAGTGAAGAAGTGAGTCTTCCCTGGCTTCTCACCGGAGATTTCAACGCCATCATGGACTCGTCGGAACAGTCTGGCCCGGTCACTCCTGCCATCTACCGGCGTTGCAAGCGATTCAGTGAGAGGGTTTGCCAAGCTGAGCTTATTGACTTGGGCTTTTCCGGACCTCGTTTCACTTGGTCCAGAGGAGACACACCCAACTCGTTCAAGGCAAGCCGAATTGACAGGAGCCTCTGCAATGCAGCTTGGAATGCAGTGTTTCCTGGTTCGACTGTCACCCATCTTCCCCGGCTCCACTCTGACCATCATCCGATCCTTACGTCTTTTGGAAACCAGGGAGTTCACTCTGCCTCTCCTTCTCGTCCTTTTAAGTTTGAGGGTGCCTGGCTTACTCATGAGTCCTATGATACCTTCCTATCTAACAGTTGGGACTCGCAGGCTCCCTTGCAGGAGGCTCTCCAAGATCTGGCCAGCAAACTATCTCATTGGAATCAGTCCACCTTCGGAAATATTTATCGCAGGAAGAGAAGATTGATGAGTCGTATTCAAGGAATTCAAACTAAAGTGACTCATAGCTTCTCGCCGGGGCTCTTTAAGCTGCAGGCTAAATTGGAGGAAGAGCTCGATAAAGTTCTGGAGCAAGAGGAGATCCTCTGGTTCCAGCGATCTAGAGAGAAATGGGTCCAGTTTGGGGAGCGCAACACGGCCTACTTTCACCAACAAGCCAATATTCGCAGACGGAGAAATAAGATCAAGTGCCTCAAGGACAACAATGGGGAGTGGATCTCTGACCCTCATGATCTTGCTAAGTTGGTCTTTGACTTTTTCTCTTTTCTGTACATGCAGGATAATCAAGAGTACACAGATGAGATGCCCAAGCAGGCCTTTCCTAGGATTGCTCAGGAAGACCTCATTCTTCTTCTTCGCCCCTTCACTGGAGAGGACATCCACAGAGCGGTGCATGACATGAAACCTTTCCAGGCGCCGGGACCCGATGGCTTTCAGGCTGCTTTCTACCAGCATGCCTGGCGTACTGTTGGGAAAGCTCTTATTGATATGGCTGTTAGTTTCTTTTCTACAGGAACGTTGCCTGGGAAGGTGGTGGAGTCGACGGTGGTTCTCATCCCCAAGGTGGATCACCCGGAGAGAGTCTCTCAACTCCGGCCGATTTCTCTCAACAACGTCTGCTTGAAAGCGATTACAAAGGCTATCACCAATCGTTTGAAGCCGATCATGAGGAAGATTGTCTCCCCACGCCAGAGCAGCTTCATTCCTGGGAGGCAGACTACGGACAACATTATAGTTTTGCAGGAAGTCCTTCACACCCTGAGAAAGAAGAAAGGCAAGAAGGGAGGCATCGTGCTCAAGATTGACCTCGAGAAGGCCTATGACAGGTTGAGGTGGGACTTTCTCAGGGATACTTTGAAGGAAGTGGGCCTACCTAGTTCGTGGATCAACTGCATCATGTTTTGTGTTGAAAATAATAGCATGCGTCTGCTCTGGAATGGAGAACTTTCTGATCCTATCACTCCCACCAGGGGAGTCCGGCAGGGAGACCCTCTCTCCCCTTATCTTTTCGTGTTATGCATGGAAAGACTCTCTCACAGGATTGATCAAGCTATTCAGGATAAACTCTGGAAGCCCCTGAGACTGTCTAGGGGGGGGCCTTTGATTTCTCACCTGTTTTTTGCAGATGATCTTGTTCTTTTTGCAGAAGCAGAAGGGAGTCAAATGCGGGTTATTAAGCGGTGCTTAGACGAATTTTGCCATAGCTCCGGTCAGAGAGTTAACTATGAGAAGTCGGCAATTTTTGTCTCGGCAAACATCGATAGGCGGAAAGCGAGAGGGCTGGCGCATCGGGCAGGCATTCCGCTCACGGTTGATCTCGGACGCTACCTCGGTGTAATGGCGATTCACGGCCGGGTCACTAGAGCCAGATACCAGGAGCTGATGCTGAGGATCCAACGGAAACTTGCTCCCTGGAAGACCAGACACCTTTCTCTCGCTGCTCGGATCACTGTGGTGAAATCTATCTCAGCCTCTATCCCGATTTACCCTATGCAAACAGAAATGCTCCCGATGAATGTTTGCAGGTCTCTAGATCGGATTAACAGGAGCTTCATTTGGGGGGACTCTGATGAGAAGAAGAAGCTGCATCTGGTTCCTTGGCAGCGGCTGTTGGCTCCTAAGAAGAATGGAGGCTTGGGCATTAGATCGACGAGAGAGGTGAACATAGCCATGCTAGCTAAAGGCGGATGGCGGATCGTCAAAGAGAAGGAGACCCTGTGGACTCAGCTGGTCCGATCGAAATATGGGAAAGACCAGGCTCATCTCGACCTTCTGAAACCTGCTCAGGGAAGTTCCTTTACCTGGGCTAGCCTTTCAAAAGCAGGAAATCTGCTTAGGAAGGGGTGTGCTTGGAATATTCATAGAGGGAATAGTACTAAGTTTTGGTCGGATATCTGGTTATCGCAGGTACCTCTACAGGAGCTAGCTTTGGATCAGATTCCGGAGGGAGATCGGGAGTTGCGAGTTAAGGACTATGTGGACGAGGATGGGAACTGGAAGACGGAGAAATTTGATCAGATTCTCCCCTCGGACATCGTCAGGCAAATCACAGCGCGGGTGGTGGACCCTCTTTCAACGGAAGAAGACACTCTGCTCTGGCAACCTTCGTCAAATGGAAGATTCTCTACCAAGAGTGCCTATCAGCTGCTTCAAGGCACCAACGATGACGGCAACCAACAGCGCTGGAAGAAGATTTGGAGCCTTGCTGTTCCAGAGCGGGTTCGGTGTTTCATGTGGTTAGTTGCTCAAGGGAGAATAAGCTCGAACGAGGAAAGAGCTAGGAGGCATCTTGTCGACGATTCCTCCTGCTTCAGATGCCCCATGCTTACGGAGACGCCGCTGCATCTTTTTAGAGATTGTCCCCCGGCAGCCTATCTCTGGAGCCGCACCGTTCCCCAAGAGAAACTTCAGAGTTTCTTCACAGGCAACTGGAGCAGCTGGTTTGGAATTAATATCAGCTGCGAGGACACTGTTCTTCTAGGCCTCCCCTGGAATGTTTTCTTTGGCATCACCCTTTGGAGCATGTGGAAGAACCGAAATGATGGGGTCTTTCACGGTGTGAACAAAACTCTGTCTGCTCCCTCTCTTTTGCAGGCTGTGAAGATCAGGGCTGAGTTGTGGTGGAAGGCTTGGAATGCGCCGAGCCCTTTGATGCGTCGGATTTGCTCCCCTCGGAGTCGAGTTGAGGCCCAGGTCGGGTGGAAGCCTCCCCCTGTGGGGTGGACGAAACTGAATATAGATGGAGCAGCTAGTGTCAATTCCGGAACTGCAGGCGCAGGCGGAGTGTTGAGGGGGGTTGACGGCAGCTGGATCAGAGGTTTTGTTGCCGGTTTGGGCTCCTGTTCAGCCACTTGCTCTGAGCTTTGGGGCATTTTTCATGGCCTTAAGTTGGCATGGAGATATGATTGCAGGACTCTTATAGTGGAATCAGATTCCCAACTTGCGATCCAGCTTGTGAAAGAAAGGTTAGATCCGGTTCATCCCTACGCAGCGCTGTTAATGGCCATCAGACGATTGATTGCCCAGGATTGGATTGTGAATCTAGTTCATGTGTACCGAGAGGGGAATAGAGTCGCGGACTGGCTCTCGAAGCACAGTCTCGTCTATCCCTACGGCACACATGAATTGGAGACACCTCCAACTGAGCTTTCCCAACTTCTCCGGGAAGACGCTGAAGGCGTCACTTTTGCTAGGCTCGTTATCCCTTCTCCTGTCCCCCCTCCCCACCTGTAACCCTCTTCTTCCCCTCTTTTCTTTGGCGTAATGCCTCCCTGTATGCAAAAAAAAAAAAAAATTAGTGTAGCTAGTTACTGCAGTACGACCCGTATTAACTTTTTTTCTATTGCATTTATTACCATTTCCCTTGTTTTAATTTCACCTGTGGAATACTGAATTCTGCAATGATGTCAATCAACAAACCCTTCTTTTCAATCAATACCGGACTCTATATTGTACATGGTTGTCATGCTGGACGGTTGAACCCGGTTCAACCGGTATCGATGGCGTGAAATCGGTATAAACACCACCGATATGACCGGCATGATCAATTTACGAACTCTAGGTAAAATGACGTCATTTCAGTGAATTTAATTAATAAAAAACAAATTTATTATATATTTTATGAATATAAAAGTTAAAAGTTGATGTAACTTATTGGATTCGGGTATAAACGTGTAAGCATTGACGTTAAATGATGTATTTAAATATGAGTATTTATTATTTTATTTGGAATGTTGTATTATATTAAGTCGGTATGAACCGATTGTACCACTAGTCATACCATTCGACTCGCTAAACTGGTGAAATGGTATAAACCAGTTTGACAACTTTGATATTTCATAGGCACTACTGGAACCACCGGGTAAAAATAAAGGGTAGTACTTCCACGTACTAGCACTTCTTTTGGTTGAAGTTAAACCCTTTTCCGTTCACTTTCCGATTATGGTAAAT